ACCCCTACTCTTTTTAATTAAAACAGAACTTTGTTCAATTACATTATACACGGGGCGTTCCAGATTCACCACGAGTTTTAGCCATAGATACTCGAGATCGAATTAAGAAGAGTAAAGGTTGTTCCAGCGGTATTGCGGCATCGATAATTGAAGTGTATATAGTAGAAAACTTAATTCTTCTATTGATCTTGTATAAACACGATTTCATGAGAAATTTAAATGTCATGAGGTTAATGTAATAATAACTTTATTTCGTATGCACAATATTTGATTTCTAAGTAAGTCGTGTAATTATTAAAAATATAAAGAAGAGAACGAAAAAGATAATAGGCGCCAACAAGCTGCTGCTGTTTACTTGTAGAAGAAAGATGATAATTTGATCTCAAGGGGATAGAATATAACGAACAAAAGAAAAAGAAAAAGGGAGGGAAAGAACTTAAATAGGTAACGCGTGATAAAATGTGCAGAACATAATCAAGACTTAAAAGTTAAATGTTGAAACTGGAAACATTTTAGTCAGCTTACAGTTAAATTCTTGCAAAAGAAAAATTCAGTTCGATTTAAAACTGAAGGAGATTTAATATTGCGAAATCTAAAGTTAATTTTTCGAGAAATAGAAACGTTGTTCGTCAATCCTCGCGACTTTTAATTGATGATTCGTACCTGCTTGCGCACGAGTTGCGTATCGAAATAATTTCGCTGTGGCGGGTGCAAATGTTTCTTTGATGACATTGACTCATTGTCGTTACCCACACTAATAGTCGCTTTTGCCCGGAGCATGTCTGCCTATTAGCATACGCATTCGAGCGTGTCGCGCTTCTTGCTGCTCCCTATCCTCATTTGCAGAATATCACATGAAATGGGATCTCCAAAAGTGCTTCTCATTCCTTTTGATAACTCATTTTCTTAGCAAACAGTGAAGCGGTTTCATGAACCATCGTCTACTGTTACATAAAATCTTGTAATTATGCCAATTTGACATTTTCGTAAGCATTATCTTTTTTGCGTAAAATCGTACTACTCCTGATTCTTTTCGTTTGTCGATATCTTATGAAATCGTCAAATGTGTGTATGTTATTCTTGTATCAAAGAAACATATGTTTACAGTTAATAAATATTAAGTCGCAGTGCTATTTAAATAAATATTTATGAAAATGAATTAGTGTATTTTTCTCTTACAAATAGCGAAACGTTTTATAAACCATCATTTATGATTGCGTAAATGATTGAGAAATCATAAGATCTTTCACAAAAAAAAATGTTTTTTTAAATTAGGTATTTATATCTTTTAATAAAACTATTTTTCTGCAATTTCTATATGTCATTTCCTTATAAAATCACTAAAGATTATATAAACAGGTTTTTTATGTATCTTGAGTCTCCTAACAATAAGCTTTTTATTGAAAATTGAAGGATTCCTTTAAGATAGGACTTTTGTATGTGTTTGAAAAAAATCCTATAATAGTCCTATAATATACCTATAGTAAGATCTCAAATACGTCTTTTAAGTAGCAAGCTAGTTTGACATAGTCAAAAGCGACTTTTTTTTTGTATAAAATCGTGGTTTCTGATGCATTTTGAGATTTCACCATTGAATAGATCTATGCATTCCGGCTGATTACGAAGAGTGCTTAAAGATATGTGTGTAAAACAGCGATAGGAAGATTTTCATATCGCGCGACTTTCTAGTGCTGACGATCATTTTGTCCGGAGAACATTTCGCTATCTCGCACGAACGAGAGAATCGTTCGGTCAGAGAGTACATTTTAAATTCGCGATTTCAACGATATGGGGATTCTCTCAGGCCGCAGAGGAGAAAGGCCAGCGAAATCCAAACTCTTTGAATCGGTGGACGGCTTCGCGGTCGCCATTGTGTGGGTGGCTTACCATCGTTTCTCCGGGATAAAGCGAGGTATCACCGGATACTGCTCATCCCAAGTCTATCGCCGGAGCCGTCCGACGGCTCTCGAGGATCCTCTCTTGAATTAGATCGAAGGACGATGCCCTGTGACTTTTATAATCGCCTTTAATACCGCTCGTGAAGGGTCGCCTTCAGATGCTGCATAACTATTTTATTAACGCTCGCGAGCGCTTATTGCAAGCGGCAAGAACATCTGACGATCTTATTAGTTCTCACCGTTATAGAAGAATCAATAAAAGACGGACTTACAAACTTCGTTTATCTATTTTATTTCTTTCCTATTCTATATACATGTCAAAAATAATTTAAAGAATTCTATGATTTATATAATTTACGTATTCATTCTTACGTATTATTATATTACATATGGACTACTAATTAACATTGCCAAGGCGTCCCCAATTAAACATTTTACATGCCACGCATTAATAATAATTTGATATAATTTAATTAATTGTTGGTGATAGTGTGTTTATGGTCCGATTTTTTATTAACTTGTGATTAAATTTAATTTTGTTTCGTTCAATAGACTTCACTTATCATAGATAATGCTCATAAATAATTGAATAAAATATTAGATTAACTCTAACTTAGTCACCAAATAAAAAATGTGCTTATGTGTATCTTGTCTGTGTTATACTTATTACATGCTTTGAGAAAGGGTCTTTATTAGATGGCGAATTTTCAATCGAGTACGGAATTTTTGGAATAGGAATTAAAACATGGAAAACAAATTGTAATAAATATCAGCATGAAAAGAACTTTTACTGAAGTATCTAAAAATTTAATTAGATAGAGAATATGAATATAATTTTGTTTGAACCGTAAAAATAATTATATTGGACATTCAAATAAATTGTTAGACTTATAAAACATTTTGCAACATAATCATCAACACAAACATTCTACACAATTACTTTTATATTCTAATAAAATTATTTTTAGATCTAGTTAATTTTTTGGATACTTTAGCAAAATCGTTCTTTCAGTGAATATAATTAATTATTGTTATATTTCGATATGATAAATAAAACATTGACTAGACTAATGAATGTACTTGCTAGAAAAACTTTGTGTATGCCAGTGCAATATCAAATTAAGACTATGTATTTTTGCACGAAGATGCCCAGCGGCACGATTTAACCTCACGTTAGCGTAAACAGAACGATGTCTAAAACGAGAAGGAAAACGAAGTTGGTTCCGGCATAGTGCAGCCGTGAACATCGCGGCGATCTTAATTTCCTGGGCGGATAGTGCGTGATAATTCCGATGAAAAATTCCATCCTGCGCACGGTGTAATTAACGAGGAGATGGTAAACCGCGAGCATATACGTTTGTAGTACTCGTCCTGTCCAGTCGCGAAAGGACCTAATTAATTAGATATCCCTATGACAAATTGCTAGAATTACACCTCGCTGATTACAATTAGACCCGGAATGAAATTCCAGCGCAATAAAAGCGTGGCAGGCTATACTTGCGTTATGTTTTTTGTTCCTCTTTCTTTCGCTTTCTCTCTCTCTCTCTCTCTCTCTCTCTCTCACTTACTCACTCACTCATTCTCATGTGCTCATACGTGCGAACGAACTTTACGCATACGTTTTGCCGTTTATAAGAACTTACTTTTATGAAAAATTAAACGTAAAATTAGAGTCCTTTCATTAGAGAGAAAGGAAGAATAAGAGACTAGAGGAAAATAGAGTAGAAATGCAGTTGCGCTACAAATGCTTTGAACTCTTCAGAAGATCTACTTTCCCTTAATGAAATTTTCCATTATTTCGTATTTTGGAATTAAAATATCTGAATATTATACGTCATACGAAAGAAGAGAAGCAATTTAATTAAAACATTACAAAGAAGAGCAAGAAAAGACATCTTAGGAATTAATAATTAACAAAATTATATAAATAAAAAAATGACAGTATAACAATAGTTGTACTGTGAGTATAACGATTGTTTGAATTAAAATATATTTTATCTAGCAGTGACTATTATTTCTTCATCAGAGACTATTACTTCTGATAAATCTACAACATTTTCCAGAGGAGTTTTGCAGCTTTTTTTCCAATGAAGCGAAAATTAAATTTAAGTAGTTAATAAAAAGGTCGGCAAGGGTCAAGTGGGAAAGAGAGCGGAACGAAAGCATAGAAAAAGGAGGGAAAAGATTGAAGGGGGGCAAAGTGCGCGAGCACGGCTAGGGCAGATCGGCCAATCCATGGTAATCAACGTAAAACCAACCCCATGAAAACTGGGGAGAATGGTCGCGCGGGTATTCGGATTACAACTGCGAGATTCAAGAATTTTTCCATTTATCGCTCTTCTTGCATGAATGCATACAAGAATTCGATACGAGAATATGGGTGGCTTTCTACTCTTCCAGGCCGACTGAAGGGCGTGGAGGTGAAAGACCGAGAGAGATGTTATACCCATCCTCGACCCCCGTCTTGAATATCTAATCGACAGCATGCTGTTCGCTCATGCATGCACTTCTATGGTGGCGAATCGCGGCTGTGCATTCCGCGAGACACTGCTCGTCGACGATGCCAAGCGCATTCATTCTTTCGTTCCCTTTTTTCGAACATTCGCAGCGCATCGTATTTTTCCAAGCGCGACGCGCGCGACATGATCACATCGTCGTGATATCCGGTGAGATTGGAAAGGGCTGAGCGCGACACATAACGCGTTACAAAAATGCGTTGTTTTGCTTGTCATTTATCGATGATGAAAGATTGAAATTCGTAAATTGATGGTAAATTTAATACATTTTTTAATATTTTGCTATTATCTGTGGCATTGTCGTCTAAATATGTTATTATGATACTTGCTCTTCAATTTCTTTTTCTACCAAAAACTCGAAAGCTTTCATTGTATTATCTATAGAAAATAATTTTTATTATATTTATTATGTTCCCTCGATGTGTGTGTGTGTGTGTGTGTGTGTGTGTGTGTGTGTGTGTGTGTGTGTGGGTGTGTGTGGGTGTGTTTTTATCTTTCATTATTAATTCGTGCAATCAAGAAAGAGAAAGGGACATAAAGTAATTAACATAAAATAATTACACGTCACATTGTTGTATTGTTTCAGGCCAAATCACCCCCGAAGTTTTGCCCGAGTTCTTAGCTCCTTTAGAAAATCATACGGTGATTCAAGGTCGTGACGTCTTCTTTACCTGCGTCGTTAATCATCTGCAGTCGTACAAAGTATGATGTTTTTTTCTAAACAATCTTTCTTCGTGTTTTATTGTAAAAAGCATTAAAAAAAAAAATTGCTAGTCATAGCACACTGAATATTAGAAAAGAATGTACATACAATGAACATATCTTTTATAAAACGTATTGTACATCAAGATTTATATGTCAAAAAAATGTAGCAGTTTTCTTTCAAAAATTTCTTTCTCTTTTTAAATTATAATATAATAAATATATAAATATAGCGCATTAAATATATGTTTCTAATAAAATTAAAAATATGTGAAAGCTCATATTTTTATTGAAACAAGATAGAAAATCAGATCTGTCAATTTAAATTTGCATATTTCTACGTTTAGTTTTACTTTTAGAACTCGTTTCTTCCGTGAGTCTGACTATATCCGTTTATAACTACTGCAAATGATGGTGCGAGCGTCTGCTACGTCGTGAACTAATTTTAGACTTTATACATTTAATTTAATAAAATTTTATATTTTTATCTTTTCTCAATCATCCTTCATTGTTCATTTTAATAGACATTTCAAATTTAGCAAAATTAATTTTATACAATACATTTAGTAATAGATTAACTGTATAATAGAATTTTATTATATTTTCTAATTACACACACGCACATATTTTCAAGCGGTTATCTGTATTTTCCGATTAAAAAGTATAATTAGAAAGTTAAAATTGTAAAATTTCCGTTCTATCTTTGTTTCAAAAAGTGAAATTTTCTTTCGGTATTTTAGGTAGCCTGGATAAAGTCAGATTCTCGAGCGATTCTGGCGATCCACACGCACATGGTGGCGCACAATAGCCGACTATCCGTCACGCACAACGGGCACAACACGTGGAAACTGCACGTGTCGAATGTCCAGAAGAACGACTCTGGTACCTACATGTGTCAAGTCAATACCGACCCTATGCGCAGTCAGGTGAGACAACAATTCTATATATGTATTATATGTTTATATACTCAAATATTGAAAGACACGTAGAACAACATATTGTAATGCAATTAAAAGTCTAATTCTTTATTTCCTTTCTAACAACGCTATTGCGTATCCCCACGTTTTTGCATACATATCTTTCCATTATTATTTACTATTTTTTTTTTATGACACGGGTACCCGCATTTTTTGAAATACCACAAATACCGCTTCACACGGTATTAATCCGTTAAAACATGTTGCGACGCAGATCCGCAATAACAACGTATCTCTGTTAAATTAATTTCCATTTACCTTCCGCACGATGCTTTATTTTTCGATGGCGTTTCCACGTTGAAATCGCGCACGACGGTCGTTACGCACGCGGTTCTATCGATTTCCACCGACAAAGCACCATGTCGCGTAGCGCGATGTAATTCGATTAAAAAGATCGAGGTTTCGCGCAATTTCGTCAGATCCGTTCAGTGGAATTTTTAAAATTCCATACACAAACCCGACCATAACTTTTTAACGCGCGCTTTTTCTTCAATCCTCTCTGACCATTATTCAGCGATTCAATATCGATTGTAATATCAGCCCATCATTGCAGCTGCAATTCAGAATTGAAAAACAGGAACTTTTACGTTATTAAAAGTAGAAGATTTCAAGTTGACAAAATTAGAGTGGAAGCTTATCTCCTAATTCTTAAAGACTTCGCTTGAATGTTTGAATTCTTATGTGTTCTGGAATTTAACAAATTTTTCTTTCTAACGAAAAATTAATTGTTACAAATATGTTATTAAATATAAAATTGTTATATGCGAAGCAGTGGAGAAAAAATTGAGACTAATGAAAACATTTTTCACATGTATTATCTTAAAATAATTTCTGTTCACAATTTCTGTTCTTGTTAATAGAGGAAAGCCTCCTATTATAAGATAGACGTCTAATATGAGCGGCGTTTCTGCTAAACTAATAAACGCTATCTATTGGTTTCACCATGAATTTATTGCTCTTGAATTGAAAACTGTTTAGTGAAAAATTTCATTATTAAATCATGTCTGTAGTCGCTATAAAAAATATTTTAGAATTTGAATGTCTTCATTGAGATCAGTCTTTAAACCTTTATTATTTAATAAATAAATATTTGACAATAAATTCTTCATGTAGTGATAGAGTGAAATTGTATTAATAAAAAAATACGGGATGTGTTGAATTGCTTAATTATAGAAATTAGATTTGATGATCATAAAACTGTAAAAACATAGTTGAAAATTGTTGCTAAAATATAAATTTTATTATACAATAATATAAAGGACAACCGGAATAAACATCGAGTGCCTATTTCTGCGATGTTTGGTTCCAACTAGAAGGCGAATTCTGGGTACAATGCATCTTGCGTGCACTCTGGTTGTGTTTGTTTGTATTTTAGAAACATTAAATAAAGTTTGTTAATTGCAATACTTATGTGCTTTGCGTGTTATTATCAATTTCTCGGGGCTTTTCTATAAGAAGCATAATTTTTTTACTTTGTAATTTATCCACTTTTTACATTTCTTTAATTAAAAAAAAAATAGAATTTGAATTAATTTTTACATAATATTATCTTAAAATTTATTAAATTCTCTTCAAAATAACCTATTATTATTTTAAATTCTGTAGACTTCTTACCCAAAATGAACTCGGTATTTCATAATAGGGGCTTTCCTTTATTATTTGTAACTTTATTAATACATAAGAAAAAGAAAGGAAAAGAAAAAGAGAGTTCAATAAAACACATAATGTTCATATAAAGGGAAAATTGTGGTGGTCAATGAAATGAAAAAGAATAAAATCCTCACAACGTGACGTCATGTGGTTTTAATTATGTAGATTTTCGATAAAGCGTAAGCCGCGTATTCAAAAAGGCACATGGAAAATTATTGTCGACGTTAAAAGTATATTAGATGCGCATATATTGTATATCTTCGGGCGACTATTTTCCCGTCGTTGGTTCTCGGATCGGTCGTTCGAAATACCCCATCGTGCCTTAAATCTCAAACCAAGTCGATCGACAGTAAAATTATTTATCGCATTTACATCGCTATCTTATCCACTCGGGACGTGCATTCACCAAAACCATTACCAGGCAGTTACTACGTCCTTTCGTAAGCGCTCGTAAGTTTGCAAGAAGATGCTCTAAAAAAATTTTTATCGATTGAAATATGAGAATAGAGAAAGTGTCGAAGCTGCAATATATAAATATTTTGATTTATAAATAAAGTTTTCAGAAATTTGAAAATATTTGCTAAATCAATTAATTTAGAAAAAAAAAACATTAAATATACAGGATGTCTCGAATTTAAATGGCTAAACTTTAAGAGCATGTAGGGGATCGACAAACTAAAAAAAAAAGTTTTTGTAGATCTGCTCGTTTTTGCTTTTGTTTGAGCATTTAAATGCGGGACATCTTGTAAAATTAACATAGCTAATGCAAATTATATAAGTGATTAAACATATCTTTATATTTGATCTCTGATGATTTTTAGAAAGTCGTGATCCCGAATTTTCTTTCATTCATTTTTCTTTCTTGCTATCCTCTTTTTTACACACACACACACACACACACACACATACACACACACATACACACACACATACACACAAAACATAGATATATATATACACATTACATATACTCGTGTTATCTCATTCAAACTTATCATTTGTCTTGCTCACACTACGACAAGCACTCTGGGCCCTTTATCTTGCCACAGGGCCGTATATTGCATCGGAAGGTTTGCCACTCTGCCGGTCGCATTGAATTCCATGGGACATGTGCACCGCACCACGCCAGTAAATTTGACCTACATTCACATTAACCCATAACACACCAGCGACCGCCGGTACGTGCTCAGGAACGTAAAACGATGTCTTTTTTACATAACCACGAGACACTTTAGTGTGGTTTATGTCGACTGACGTCTCGCGCAAGGCGACGACATGATATTTCCGACCTGACAGTGATGAAGTTAATGTTTAATACTGCGTCATACATGTGCGAAAATAATAAATATTATTCAGTTCTGTGTTCTCATTAGCTTATTATTATACTAATTGTCGTTGATTCTTATAAATTATATGTGTTTTGAATTTTACAAAATTACAACACTTTGCTTTAAACATTTTGACTTAAATTTAAGATTTTTCTTGTGCTTTTTTAAAATTATTAAATAAATTTGATTGTCTTGGATTCGAAGATTTGTCAGAACATTATAAATTTCTTATTATATGTATAAACTATTTTTTAATTAATGAATTTAGTATTATTTTTTAATATTTTCATAATTAAGATCTTTTAATTAGATTTTTTTTTAAGTACTTTTATATAAAAGGATTATTGAAGGACGTAAAGCAACAGAAATTTTATATTGTTGTTTTCACGCTATTATTTTACCATTGCAAATATATGGTACAACAATAAATTTTTGTTCTCTAATTAAACGCAGCTGGAGCTCAGATTTCATCAATTATCAGGGAATTTTATTTTTTATCTATTTATGTATTTACGTAGAATAAAATGTGTGGAAATTTTACGTTTGTTCGTGTGTCTCGGACTATATATGATATTATTATTATTATTATAGCAATATTAACTGTGAAATTTTTAAATGATGTTTCACTGCGGTATTAAAATATTATTGTGGTAGATGCAGATCTCATCTCAGCAAATTTTGCGTAATAATGAACGAAGCACGTTTACTAGGGGAAAAAAAAAAAAAAAAAAAAAAAAAAAAAAAAAAAAAAAAAGGCCAAATTTGTGTGATAAAAGAAACAAATTCAAACCGACGTTTATTTTATTTCGCGTAAAACTATAAATTTCGTTGCATGTTTGTTTCATCGAATTGAATAGGCTACGTGTACTATTTCACATCCAGTAAATTCTATACTCTTGCACGTTATACCCGTGCGAGAGTACCCTCATCGTGTACGTGCTTGGGACCGTAAAACAATGTACTTTTTTTCCAGTGAGTAGTTCGAGCCTTGTCTTTGCGCAGACGGCTTTAGTATGACCTTTCACGAGCTGTTTACTCCGCAAAAAGGAATTCTTTCTAACTCTTTGATCTTCACGTTCGTAGTACATCAAAATGCAATTAATCCGTTCTTATCTTTTGCTAGAAACAGTTTTAATAATAAAATGATTCAGATTGCAGATTGTTGCACAAAGAACCCGATAATAGAAATCCTTTTGTAATATTCGACAATCTGTATACAGAAGAGTAATTTTAAACAATAGTTCAAATAGTTCCGATGTGATATAAATTTAAAAATTAAAAGAACAAATGATATTATTTAATTTTCATTTTACAACACATAATTATAAAATTCTGTTAGAGACTGATGATATAATTTGGTTCTCACTAAATATCAATTTATTTATATAGAATAACTCCGTTATATACGCCGCACCTATTAAAAATTTAATTTATTACGTATTATTTACTGTGTTTAAAGTAAATGAACTTTTTTTGAATCCTTGTATTTTTTATCCCATAAGAGTGGGATATATGACTTCTTATAAAGAGAAGGGGGATATGTACGACTCATGAAAAATTTATAAATAATGCATATAAATAAGTCGTAAAATGACACAATAATTTATAAAATGCGCTTATAAAGTTTTATTAAGAAATAAGAAAATGATAAATATATATATGAAGTAA